GTATATTCTGCATTGGTATATTGTACAGCCATATTAATAAACCACGCATTTGTTTTTTTAATTATTGAGTCAGATAGAATAGTCCAATCATTATAGTAAGTTCACCTCGGAATTCGAGATACCCAGCTGTAAGTCTGTAAATACTTGTATATTGACACCCTAAAAGTTGTCTCAAAACCTACATATAGTAGGGTGTACGCATCTATTAAATTTCAAGGTCAAAGGTCAAAAAAAAATCGATTTTTTGCGCTTTTTTTGTAAATATCTCATTTCCTATGGGTTTTTTGCTATTTGTATTTATTATCAATATTGTAGAATACAAAATTCTCTAAAAATTTTGTTTAAAAAAATTTTTCATACGGTGAACCGTTTTCGAGATAGATGACGGAGAACGCGCGGTCACAGCATCTCTTCAGGTCAACCGGTGCCTCCGGTCGAAAACCCGCCATATATAGTTGATGAAATATCGATAAATCAATGATTATAAATATTTGTCAATTTTTATTAACTATTATATTATATTTTATCATTTTTTTTTCCTAACCTATCCACTTTTTATTTAGTATTAATTGCAAAATTGTTAATGAAAATATAGGAATTATATTTGAATTTTAACCTAATTAATATTAATAAATTCTTACATAATGAAAAAAAAAAACAAATAAATTATGAATTAATCTTTTTATTAAAAAATTTCATTCAATACATTTATTTTTATTAAAAGTAAAAAAATGGAATAAAAGGTACAAAAACTACAATTTATAATTTTAATAATCTTCTTCCTCTTCATCGTCGTCTTCCGGCTGCTGGTAAATTTCAAACTGGTCTTCATTATCGTCTTCAACGACATTTCTCTCAAGTTCTTCCATGATTTCGGGGTCAAAGGTTCCATCTTCGTTAATGTCGCTCTGATATGGTAGAGCATTGAGACAAGCTTGCCCATTACATTGGCCACAAGCTAAAGAGCATTGCAAGCCCGCTTTCCTGCATCAGTATCGCGAACCACAACCACTCTTGCAGTTGCAGAAAATTGTATTTAGCAAATCTTCTGGAGCAGGTGGTAAAATTGTCATGATAGGCTCCAGAAAATCGTTTCGCATTGCCCAACTCCATACCTGGGGTTCCAAATCATGCCTTAACCAAGTTTGAACTTAATAATATACACGTTTGAAAGGTTGATGAGCAGCTGCTTTTGTTGGTGGAATATTTGAAAGCTGCACAGGTTAATTAAGTTTTGTAGACTTGACGTAATGCATATAACGAAGATGATCGAGACTTTTCACAGATTTCGGAGCATTATAGACTGCCAATAAGATTTGAGTTCCACTCTCTAATAATCTCTGGGCCGAACAATTTTCTTTCTCAAATGCTGCAGCTAGTTCATTCAAATTTGTCAGTTTCTCAAAAACTTTAAAAAATGATTTTTTCCCTTTTTAAAAAGCGCAGAAGTTGTGTCACAGCACCAATGCGTGCAGAAATAAAATATGTGTTTTGGAATGAGGATAATTATCAAAACTTTTAGTCAAGTATATCCCCGTTTTTACATTTCCTTTCCCAACTTTTTTAAAGAAAATGTCTTGTTCGTAAGACAGTGTACGCCCAATTAAAATGACAAGTAAATCAATATCTTGTCCTATTATAACTGCAGTTTTTTCAGAATTTGATTCTTCAATTGCAGTTTCAACAATAAGAACATCAGCATTATCTCTGGCTTGTTTAGTAGTAATATTTGCAGCTTGTAATTTTTCAATTAACATATTAATGAGCATATCTTTGTTATTTCGATTTGATAAGAATTTTTCTTGAGTAACTGGTACAACTATTGTTTCATCTTCTCTGCTGCTCCATAGCTTTTACGTTCTTACTGTAATCTGAATTTTTTTAAACAAAATTTGTAGAGAATTTTGTATTCTACAATATTGATAATAAATACAAATAGCAAAAAACCGATAAAAAATGAGATATTTACAAAAAAGCGCAAAAAACCGATTTTTGTGACATTTGACCTTGAAATTTAATAGTTGCGTACACCCTACCATATGTAGGTTTTTAAATAACTTTTACCATGTCAATATACAAGTATTTACAGACTTACAGCTGGGTATCTCCAGTTCCGAGATTCTTACCTAATTTAAGCTTAAATGACTGGACTAGAACACTTTCAATCATTAACAAGAGATTAGGTGTTAAAACTTGACAATATTTTTATTTAGATGAAACTATGGAAACCAACAATAAATGTTTTTGTATACGTATTGCAGGCAAATAATTAATATTTCTCAAAAAATCGTACATGGCAAGAATCGAGTATTTTTGTTAAAAGTCTCGATTAGAGGTGTTGAAGAAGATATGAAAAAAGTACATTTTTATGTTTTGCATCGTATAAAATTTTGTCCGATAATAATACATAGGCGTAGAACTTGATTTTTTAAATAATTGCACCTTTAAAAATTCTACGCCAATGGCAAAAAAGGGGGTTGAGTATGAAATTTGGATTGGGTACTCATTTACTACAAAAAAGTACCCTTGATAACTATCGATTTACTCTTATGGTTTTGACAAAGTTTGTATTTTAATAATTATTGTTTATGTTCTAAAATTACTAAAATGCAAATTTCGTCAAAACCATGAGAGTAATCGAATCTTATCAAGAGTACCTTTTTTAAAGTAAATAAGTTGGGCAATCTAAATTTCATACTCAAACTCCTTTTCTTCCATTGGCGTAGAATTTTTAAAGGTGCAATTATTTAAAAAATCAAGTTCTATGCCTATGTATTATTATCGGACAAAATTTTAATACCTTTTTTTTGCCACATAAAACTCTACAAATATACCAAATTTCAGCAAAATCGCATATGCCGTTTTAAATTTATATGGGAAAAAAGATTTAAAAATTGTAACTTCAAGGCCCTCTGGAGCCCAAACGAAGCAACTTTCTACTAAGGTAATTTTACTTAAATCGACTTATTTTGGTCTAAGGAATATGTGGTGTTTTTGTAAAGATCTTTTACAGACACCCTGTATAATACTATAATTCTTCCTCACTTTAATTATTACTCTACAATACTCTTTTTACTAAATCAAAATGAGTTGAACCGACTACAGAAGCTGCAGAATAGGGCTATGCGAATAATATTATTCTGTTTAAAATATACCTCCATTAATCTAATGCTTGAAACTTTGAGGTGGATGCCAATTAAAAGTCTCTTATTACGGAATGCGTTAACTTTTATTTATAAAATTAAACACTCTAATGTGCACAATTATCCAACGCGGAACAGAAATAACTTTTATATCGAAACAGTTGTTAAGAGTGCAACACAAAATTCACTATTTTTTGAAGATCTTAAATCAATATAACGCACTTCCAGAGAAAATTAAATCAATAACGTCTTAACTACATTTACAGTAAAAGTGACAGATTTCTTAATTGATGAATATTTCTCCAGAAACAGTAACAAGCTATAGAATTTTAGTTAGTTTTAATTGTATCTAAATTATCTATGTTTTGACTTATATGTACTTGTATATTTTTACTAAATTTGTATTTTGTGATATTAGCAAACTATCTATATAAAGGAAATAATAATAATAATAATAATAATAATAACTGAAAGATTTGGATGGAATCTCCCCCACTGGCGAAAACTAGTATTGAGCATGTTCATTAGAAGGCGCAATTTATACATTTTATCGGAAATATCGAGCTTAGTATTATCAGCAAAGTGTATGTTTCTCTTTATTTCCTGAAATCTGTTTCTAGACATAGCGGAAGCGTCGAAAGGAACCGAAACATCTTCGTCAACGATTCAATACATGGACTCATGTGGTAGGTAATCTATGGTAGCCAGAAAGAAGTAGAATTCGCAGAAAAAATTTTATGTCTGACTCGGTTACTGTAAAGTTGTTATTATTTTTTTGTGAGGCATAAAGATTTGTTTGCTCAATAATCAATTTTAGTTACTTATCATCAAAAAATTTTTCAAAAGTTTCAAAAGGGCTAATATCTTTCACATAATAACATTTTTCAGTCTCTCCTCGTAGCCAGTAGTGTTTTCATTCATACTTATATCTGTGTAAAGTTTGGTCCAGTTAAGTCCTTCCTTTTTGCCAGTGACTTTACATTTTGAACTCTTTTTTTTTTGGGAAATTGTACAGATAGTGGCACATTGTCATCACGTTGTCTTCCAAAGCAACTCCTTTTCTTACAGTACCCTCAGGTAAAAGCGTATCATCGTCTGAGGAATACTAGACTTCTACTTCTCTAGGAACATCTCTGGGAAAAGTGACAATTCTCATATCAATGTCATCGACTTCTTCTTAATCCGTTTGTGTATCTACCTCAGGCGGGATAATAACTATTTTTGATTCGTGATTTGATGGCCAAGCTTCTTCTATGGCTTCCCCGAATGTTATAAAATGTTTGCCGTAGAAACTTGTTACACTTTTTTTTCCAGAATTTCTACAAAAATATTTGTTATAATAAAAGCAGTTTCAATACATACCTGACAAACTAAATTAGCACCCCAATTGAAATAATTCAACCTTTACTTTGACAAAACTGATTATGCAAATCACTGTGTTTATCAGGATTGTTTACAAATAATCGAGCATTTATATTTACGATAAGTTGGCCATCTATGACAAATCCTTAAAACTTTGTACTCCCTCTACTTTGCAGAATATTTCTAATTTATTAGATTGTAGTGTTATTTCGACAGATGGAGCTTAAGAGCAAAATTTTAAGATGTACTCAAATGAGTACGGTGGGAGGTAATGGGTTAAAAATAAATAATTTTAAATAAAAACCAAATTATTTAGCTTTATTAAAAATAAATTTCGTACACTGTAATTGAATGTGAAATTTTATATGGCATATGAATAAAAATATTTTAATCATAGAAAATAATTATCATATATACTCGTAGAATATTATTTATGCTGACATCATGTTCATATCTGCAATACTTATCGACAACTAATTTTTTTTATAATTTCAGCTTAATCCTCAACATACAGTTCCGACCATCGACGATAACGGTTTTGTCTTATGGGAAAGCAGACCCATTATGACCTATTTGGTCAACCAATATGGAAAAAATGACACTCTCTATCCCAAGGACCCAAAGAAGAGAGCTGTGGTAGACCAGAGATTGTACTTCGATATGGGAACCCTTTATCAAAGATATGCAGATTACTTTGTAAGTATTTCTTTTATTTTTATAACAAAAAAGCTAAAGTACCGTCTTTATTTTTTGTGTATACTTGGTGTGTCATTAATTAATGGATTAATTATTTTAATTAATATAAAAAGAAATATTTTTAGAGACCAAAATATTTACAAAATTTGAGCCAGTGCCAAGGCCCTTTGGCCCCTTAGGACCAGCCGCCACTGGTTATAGACACGTAAATAAGTTTCAAATAAAAGTTATATGGACTTAAAAAAAAAGTATTTTAAAAATATTTTTAGACATACAGTGTGTTACGTATATTAAATATAATGCTGGCTCAAGAACACTTCTCTGTGAGACGCCAGTTTTTTTGCTCGAGTTTAAACTTTTGCTGTGATAGATATTATTCTAGCAATGGAACATACTGCATCGGGATAAATGTCTTTAAATACAAGGCCTTGATGCCACACTTTACCCACAACCTATCAAAGCTTTTGAGCTATCAAGAAATACTGCAGGAGTTATAAATTCCAAAATGGAACTTTGGTTTTTAAAATTTTTATTAAGTATAAAATACACTTAAATGGATATATGAACTAAAGCTACTTCAAATAACTCATAAATTCAAATAACGAATAACTAGAGTCAAATAACAACAATAATTAGGTTCTACTCCTATTTATAAAGTAAAACTGATTATTAATCAAAGATAATATATAAAAGAGTCTATTATATTATCAATATATAACTCCTCCCTCCTTAAGTTTTGAAAAATTATTTTTCAAAACATCTTGTGTAGGATTTTCTAATTCAATTTCTTCGTTTTCTTTCTTCTTTCTTCTAAATCTTCTTAAAAGTTGTCTTCTGTATTTAATTAATATTAAAATAATTATGCAAATAAAAATTGTTCCAAAAGTGCTTGAATAATTAAAGTTATTTTTAATTTCTTTAATTGGCTTTAATTGTTTAGAAATTTGATTAATTTCATATAAATCATTAAAATCTAATATAGTTATATTAGAATTTTTTACATGGTTGAATAGAGAATAAAACCCTCTTTAAATTTCGAAAGGGTTGTTCCCCTCGAGTAAGGGATGAAATTAAGGGTAAACTAATCATACAAAAATGTACAATGTAGAAAACAAAAATCGACCTGTCTCGGCTATTTTCCTAACAAGACTCCAGTAACGAGTTAGTTAGGGGGGGGTAAGACTTAAGATTCTCACTGTATATAAATGACTTGTAGAACTTGTACTTGGAACAGCGTCGTTATCAAAATGGATTTCATTTTCGTCGATATTCTGTAACAATTTTTCTAATTATTTTTTGGTTTTCTAACAATACTTTTATGATAAGTACCTTTGTCTGTTTTTAATAAAATACTTTTGTCTTCAATGACATTTGCCTTTTTAAATTTTGGTAATATTTTATTTCTCGATTTTGTTTTGACAAAACATGATTTTTGTTTAGAATAGTTATCTGGTTCAGATCTGTTTTCATTTAATTTGTTTATTAAATTTTCTTTTACTTCTTCATTACGTTGTTTAATTTTGTTATACATCTGTTTAGTAATTTGCTTATGATCTTGTACATAATTAGAAATTATTAAGTGATCGTCTAAATCAAAGGGATCCGGATTATCAATGTGACCTTTTATTATTTCAAAGGGTGTGAACTTTGTCACTGAATGTATACTATTATTATAACAAAATTCACAATTTTTTATTAGTCTATCTGGTATAAAATGTTTGTTATTCTGCTAATATTTTTGATATATCTATTTGATCTAGGTTAAAATAAACTCGATTTAATTCATGCAGAACTATTTCATTTAATTTTATTTTATTTGCACTAAAAAGTAAAATATATGTGATTTTTGAAAAATTCAAAGATCAGTATATTTTAAAATTTATTAAGGCATTTTAAATTCTTCATTATGTTCTATTTTTAATCTTTTTATTCAAAAAAGTAGTTATTTTTGTAAAATTTTTAATTAATAAATTTTTTAGTAATATCCTATACGTCCAAAGAATAACTTGATATACCTATATTTTTTATTTTGTAAAAATTAAAATTTAAAATATATATGAGTATGTTTTAAACTAGGTTTATCTCTGTCAGGGTAGTGCTTAATACTTTTTGAATTTTGTTCCCTTTTTCTTAAAGTTTGAAAAACATTTAAATTTTATTTTCTTCCTGTTAAAGTTTGAAAAACTTTAAAATTTTATTCACCTCCTGTTACATTTGTATATTCCTGGTTTTTTCATTTTGGTTCTAATTTTATTATTAGGTAATAAAAATTCTTTCTTTAATTTTTTCTTGCATTTATATTTTGTATTTATTCTATTTTCAATATTTTTATTTAATAATATAATTTATTTTTGAACATACGGATTTATATAGTTGATCTAAATCAAATATTTGATCTATAATATCTATTTTTTGAGATAATTTAGGAAAGACTAGTTGATTCGGAGAATCCTTAAGAGATTAAACTATTTCGTCAATATCATTTATATTGTTAGAAGTTAAAAGAATTAACTTCAAAATTATTGTTCTTAAATGATTTATCACCCTATATACTATAACACCCTGTATAGCCACTTCATAAAACACGTGTTAACATGGTTTTATAACGTTTTATTAAATATCTCGTAAACAATGTTTGAAATGTAATTAATTAAGGAACAAAATAAAGAATGTCTTTAAAGGGCATAAGGCCTATCACTCATAGCGTTCGGCTGGTCAAACGTCAAGTCCCCGCTCTCGTCGCTCTTCTGGTGCTGGACACTGAAACGGGTAGACCATGGAGGAAGGGTAGACCCATAGATATATAACCAAGACAGATAGGATTATTTACAAAATTTTTGAAGAATGAACGGTGGTGTCCGCGGTAAAAACTCAATAATCGGATTGAACATTGATGCCAAGTTTACGTGCTTTTAACTATAGATATATATATATATATATATATATATATATATATATATATATATATATATATATATATATATATATATATATATATATATATATATATATATATATATCTTCCGTTGTGTATATATATAAGATAAATTAACTGAAGTTTTATTAGTAAAGCATTAATACTAAAATTTTAATGTAATTTACAGAAAATAGCTAGGTATGTATTTGTTTTTAAATAATTTGATAATTTATGAAAAAAGGGAGTAAAAGTGGAATGACCAGTGGCCAGTAGGTCAGTCAATACGAAGTATCATATATTTCTGTTATAACATAACTAAAATACCTACATCTTTTAATCATAAGGACATAAGTTAAAAACCATTTTAATATATGCATTAGAATGAAGTAATAATAACTTAAAGAGACGAGGTCTTAAAGTAATAGCTGGTACAGCATGTTTTTTAAACGTTTCCTCTTTGCTGCTAGAATGAAATCACTTACTATGAAATGTGCTCTAAAAACGGCATTTATAGCAGTCAGTGTTCAGTCTTAGGATCTCTTCCTAAAGCCCTCATCCAAGCTGCATACATATTAAAAAATAATTAAAAAAAAACATATTATATACCTATATAGTTTTCGGTTCTGGGTGCCCTAAAAGAGGACACTTAGCCGACAATTTGGCTCAGATAGCTAAAACCCAAAAGTCACACCCCGAACCAGGACGTATTGCTATCCTTTTAAGTAAAAAATAACTACAAATAACTTACCTGAAAAATGAAGGCGTCTAACTTTACACCAAAAAAACCATACACTTTTTCCCATTGTTGCAAGCACCCGATGACGATTAGGTAGATATCAACTAGAAGCTGTACTTAATGGTTATAAAGCTTATTTTAACACAAAAAGAATAAAGCACTAGTCGAAAAGCAGCAATCAAATATAAATAGACCATAATATTAAAATTCAAATTAAAAACTATATAAAAGACAAATACTTTAAAAGCGCAAAAGATCAGAACCAAATAAAATGAATAACCATAATAACCTAAAAATCACACTAAAATTGCAAAAACTATTACTGTAAAATCATGAGATTACATCAATAATGCATATGCGTCGGAGTATCGCAAATGTCAAAAATACAGTGTTTCCATGAAAATTTAGCTATGTTTTTAGCAGTATTATAGGACCATTTCTACCACGCGCATCCAACGATATTGGCGTTCCACAGTTCACTGTATTTTCCTCACACCTCTAGTATAAATGATTTGACATAACGAAACTAACAATAATTATAATTAATGTAGAGTAATAAGTGATTCGTGAATTCTAAATAAAACAATTATTATATAAAAGTGTAAAAGGAAATGTAATTTATTTCCCTATTTTCTTCTGTAATATCTTTAATTATTATGTTTAATTTCTATAAATAAACCAACTGGTTAGGTGAAACATTGTGATATAAGATTTTATTTATGTGTCCTATGCGTACACTTTAATATACAAAACACCTGGAACATTCTTTGAATAATTGTGGTCGTAGAAATAATTGTGTACATAACTCGTTTGAAAGTGTATTTTATGCACTTGCCAAATATATTATCCATATAGATTAATCAGTTATTAATTTTTACTTAACTTCAGTACATCTCTTACTATTAAAACTATTTTTATCAATGGAAAAAAAGGGCCGTGTTCTCGTATGTTTTGACGCATTTTCGGCCTCAGCCCATCGGATCCCCCCTCTAAATATATATGAATTTTGCTTAGAATTGCTAATCCTACAATTCTCTATTCGTGCTTGCTGACTGGGAAAATAAATACCGAAAATCGTCACTGTCTCCTGGACTATACAATAGATGATGATGAGAACTTCACAACAAATACACTTTTATGAATGGCTAGTTGGGTATGTGGGTAGACCATGGAGGAAGGGTAGACGTGGTATTGTCGACCCCAGTGGCGGCGATATCCTAATTCGCTGACTCTAGCAGGGCAGACGTGGTATCGTCGACCCAGTGGCGGCGATATCCTAATTCGCTGACTCTAACAATATTTTTATCTAAATATTCTGTTTCTAAAGTATTACGTTCGTCCAATTTA